TGCCACCATGCTGGTGGAAGTAAACAATAGATATCTCATTAGCTCCTTTTGTTCGTCTACCAGCATTTAAATTTGACCCGCACACGTCAACGGTGAGTGACATATGAGCCTAGGTCTTCCCAGGGAAGACTTCCATATATAGCGCGCCTTCGTGTTTTTAAAGTCTCAAGAGAGACTGGCGCCTAGTTCCCCCTCACACTATCACCCTGAGTCAAATGTGAAAGTCGGGAGTATAAAGGAAATGATGACCAATTTAAGAAGCTCCAGATTGTTAAACAAATTCTCCTTGTCAGCACCACAGGAAATCTACAGAGAACAGTATGGAGAATATGCATACTCATGTTAGGTTGTAAAGGATTATTATACTCATTTGAACATACTTCCATTCTTTTACTTGAACAGGTGGCCCGACTGACCCCCCACGTAAGTGGATCTTACTTTTTAGCATAACCTTTGTTTCTTACTCGTCTTGAATCAAAGACTAGTTAGCAGTAACTAGATTCAAAGTGCTCATAAAAATATTCCAGAACCAAGCCATGTAAAAATGAAACAGTGCTATATTTTTCAAGTATGTTGATCAGTCAGAGAGCTAGACAGTGCAGCTTTCCTGGACAAACAAAATTTTATCTCAAAGAAAAAAACAGCGCAACAGAAAGCTTCTGTATGTCCGCTGATTCTCATGGACCCATATTCATCCCTAAACGTACCTTTTAAACTCAACAACACATTTCGTTTACATGAAATTTTTTTCCAATAGTATTTCAAAATTTAGAATGTTTTGCTTAAAGGTTTTGAATTGCTCTTTCTACATTTGTGCAGTAAGGCGTACTGTGAAGTACGATATCTTAACTGTTCGGCCTTTTCACCCTGGCAAGTGATTTTAACAAGAGAGGTACTTGACTGTTATTAAGGAGCTGTTAACTCTTGTAATTGTCTGGGGCTATTCCTGCATGCTCAAAGGTCGTGCTTTAAGATATGCAGTTTCTGATTTTGAGAATTTCTTTCAAAAGCTTGTCAGGACAAAAGTAGACATTGTACAAATTGGAAGAACAGGGGATTTTGTGATCCATCAAGCCAGTATCATATTTACATGAAGAATAACTGTGGAAAGACCTGTGGCTTTTGCGGAGGAGGCGGCGGAGGAGGAGGAGGAGGGGGCGGAGGAGGCGGAGGAGGGGGAGGCGGCGGTGGCGGCGGCGGAGGTGGTGGCGGAGGTGGTGGCGGAGGAGGAGGCGGTTCCTTTTGTAGTGGTTTGTATAAAAATCTTCATTACCGGTCTCCCAAACGCAGTTCCTTTATTAGAATTTGTTTCCGCTTTTCCTGTTTTATTCCAAGTTATGATGTGTGCTGCTAAAACGCTTGATTTGTTAAAGTATAGCTGGTGGGAGTTACCCAGAGGTTGACCTTTCGACCTCTAGGCATGACCAACATCCTGAATCCACTGAATCCCTGCTGAATCTAACATTATGGTCACGAGAATAACTGAAATGATCCCTAAATGATTTAAATAAATAATTTACCAATTTATATAGCGCGTATTTACATGTGCTGATCAATAGCACTTTACAATCATACGTTTAAGAGAAAGCAAAAATACATTACTGTGAGAATAAAATGAACTAAGTTACAAACTATAAAAATACTTCTTAAAAAGATAGGCTCAAATAGTGCTTTACTGCGAAGAATCGTTCTCATATACGTCTCATAACCGCAGTTCACACATATGTTTCATATGTTTGTTGTTAAAATGAACTAAGTTACAAACTATAAAAATGCTTCTTAAAAAGATAGGTTTTAAGTCCAGATTTCAAACTGTTAAGTGATGTTACTTGACGAAGCTCCATAGGTAGGCCATTCCAGAGTTTCGGAACTGCTGCTGAGAATGATCTTGCTCCCAATGTTGTAAGCATCTTTCCCTTGGAATGGTCTAATAAGAGCCTACCAGTAGACCTAAGATTGTATAATGAATTCGATTTTATACTAATAAAATCACTAAGATGTGTTGGCGCTAGGCCAAAAATACATTTGAAAGTCAAAAGTAAAATCTTAAAGTCAATACGTAAAGAAATCCGCAGCCAATGCAGCTCATAAAGCGACGGTGCAATGTGAAATTATCCCTAACTGAAGAAGATCTTGATTGTTAAACAATTTCTCCTTGTCAGTACCAATGGAAATGTTTGGAAAACAGTAAGGGGAATATGGACTCTGGAGTTAAGGTGGAAATGCTTAAAACATGATGTGTATGGTAAAGGGCTAACAGCAAAAACTTAATCCCTTCTGTCTGCTTTCAGATTTTTTTTTTATCGTTTTTAAGATAAATTATTTGCATCTCCTGTGAAGAAAAAAGACTTTTTACTACGTTTCCATCCGCTTAATTATACGCTTTATCATAGATTTTTTTTCTCATGTTAAGTTGTCCGTGGAACTCGTAGTAAAGTTTTCGGACATGAATGCGCAAGAAAACCAAATCCTATAATTTTCTTTTGAATCCGATAAGGATACGATCACTCCTATTCTCATCATCTGCCAACTGCTTGCTGCAAATCAATCAACCTTTAATAAAAATAAAACTTCACTCAACAATTACCAAACTTTACCAGCTCAGCTGAACTTTTCTCGCACGATGGTGCAGGGGGGGCACAACTTTTCTCTGACTGAATTTGCTTGGAAAATACAAAAAAAAAAAAACAAAACAAACTTTCAAACGAACTAAACAAAACGAGCCAAAACAAAACAGGTGCTTTCAAGCTTTGTTATCAACATTTTTAAATTACAGCCTGGATGAAGGTCTTTTGCTTATAAAAGTTTTTCTTTTCAGAATACTAAACTGAACGATCGGATGAGAAAATAACTCAAACCATTCTTTATTACATTTTGTATTTGCTTGACCGCCTACGTTCCTTCCGTTCCCCTCCCTTTCTAACCCTCCCCATCCCCAGTAATAAAATCGTTTCGTAAACTCCCTTTCTAACCCTCCCCTCCCCAGTAATAAAATCATCTCGTAAACTTGGTGCACTCCCAGCTGATACTGTTGAGCTAGTTATCTCAGTATCAGAGACACAATCTCCTTCTGTCTTCTTTCGCAGTGAGCAATGCCAGTAATAAAGTGAAAAGCTGTACCTTTGATAACGGTATGTGTGACTGGCATAATGTTCCGTTTGACGACGAAATTGACTTTGTCATCAAAAGCAGCAGCTCTGGTGGACCTAGCTCTGGAGCCGGGGGGAGTGGTAAGTAGTTAACAGGAAGATGATCTCGTGACAAATTTGTTTTTTCAGGCGTGTTCATCAAAATGCTAAAAGAGCTATCATTTTCAACAGTTTAGTTTATAAGTTTTAGCTCATGAGTTATTTTCTTTCGACCATTTGTGGTCGCTGAATCAGTGAACGCTTCAGGGAATTCCACTTTTCAATAAAACCTGGCTCAAGAAGCTGCAAACCTCAATATAATCACCTTTTGGACGAGCTACGAGCTATTTACACGCAAAATGTAACCAGGACTTCTCTCGAACATTTTATCAGTCATTTTGTCACTAGTTTTGCTGCTGTATTATTGAGACTTTTACCTAGAAAACCCGCAACGTCTTTATCGTGTTTCTCATATTGTTTCCGGCTTTTTTTAAAATAAATATGACCTTCCACAGTAAAACAGGGAATAAGGGGATGGCACGGGTGTGCGTGCGATGACTCGGCTCGCTAAGCGTGTCACCAATCTCATGGATACGAGCATATTGTTTCCGGCTTTTTTTTTTTTTTTAATAAATATGACCTTCCACAGTAAAACAGGGAATGAGGTGATGGCACGGGTGTGCGTGCGATGACTCGGCTCGCTAAGCGTGTCACCAATCTCATGGATACGTGCATATTTAATACGCAAAACAAAGACTGGCAGAGCAGCTTTTGTGCAGTATGTTTAAGCCTTTGTCTCAACTGGTGTGCTAGATGTCACACTCAACGTGATATAGGACACAGGTGCGAAAAGACGCGCGTGCGCTGTGGCACGCGTGTCTTACTGATAACAACCGATTTAGACGAAGTTTTAACACGGCAAAACACATAAAGGCATGGCACAGAGCTAACTGAAAATCATGCCTTAACGACAAAAAGATGGTTTCTTAGATTTGTATATAGACCGTACCTGCCATACTGGAGTTGCAAGTTGTAAGAACGCTTACGTGCAGTCAGTTAAAGCGACCAAAATCAAATATAAAATAAAGTCGAACATATTTAACTCTTAAATTTTTAATTTATTTATCTAATTTAAACGGATTGTTTAATTCCCTGCGAAATCTAAAAAGAAAGTTTACAAATTACAAGCTAGTGCTTAACTTGCAACCTGTATCAGGCGTTGCAAAGGACACCATGGCAAGCTATTGACTAATTAAAACAAGCATTATTTTCGGAGGAAGAGCTGGCAAATGGAATACATTTGTGTCAGATAGAAGCATATAAATTAATTGAAACGTTTTCTGCGATCAGCGTTGATATAAAAGTATGACTCAGATAAATTTAGAGACAAGTGCGGCATTCCTTCGAAAGTTTCGTGTTTGACCGCGTAAACACTGGGACTAAAGTCAACTTCATGGCCGATAAAACGACAACGTTCGTGTTTACGTTTAGGACTGTAATTTTAGGCGTGCGCATGCAACACGCCGCTCCGAAGCCGGGGTGTCATTTGATTCACTGCCTATCGTTTGGTGTGTCATTTTAACGTGTCCGTGCGTTCACCTTATTCCCTGTTTTCCCGCGGAGGGTCACAAATGGTAACAGGACCTCCGATTCATCTAATCCTGCAAACATCATCCGTATCATGATATCCCGCTGTTAGTAAGTACGCTACGATTGACCAGTTTAACGGGCCGTCTTTCACTGTAAACCCGCTAAATTCAAAATTTGTTAGGACTGAAATTTTTCCCCAGAGATATGATAAATATCTTACTGATTTCGTTTTGGATACAATGAATATATGAAGTTCATATATTTTGAACTGCGGTATTAAATACGTATGATTCACGATCTTTCGCAGTAGATAGCGCTATTTATGCAATAGCGAAAATCGGACCTGAAAAAAATCAGGCCTGTACGGTAGAGCGCTGCACTAGTATCGCAGAGGTCAGTGGTTCGAATCCCGTACAGGCCTGATTTTTTTCGGGTCCGATTTTCGCTATTGCTATCTACTGCGAAGGATCGTGAATCATACGTGATCTCGTTTTCTTGGTCTGCAATGTTAGTTACTGAACCCCACTTTCTCCGCTCGGAGAGGCTTCGCGCTTGGGCCATAATCCGAGCAGAAAAACTCGGTCTGTAACTCANAAAATCAGGCCTGTACGGGATTCGAACCACTGACCTCTGCGATACTAGTGCAGCGCTCTACCAATTGAGCTAACAAGCCAACTGGGAGCAGGCCGTTAAGTTGATTCGTAATAGCCCCGTGATGATAAATCAGATACAATGAATATGTGAAGTTCATATATTTTGAACTGCTGTATTAAATACGTATGATTCACGATCCGTCGCAGTGGATAGCGCTATTTATGCAATAGCGAAAATCGGACCTGAAAAAAATCAGGCCTGTACGGTAGAGCGCTGCACTAGTATCGCAGAGGTCAGTGGTTCGAATCCCGTACAGGCCTGATTTTTTTCGGGTCCGATTTTCGCTATTGCTATCTACTGCGAAGGATCGTGAATCATACGTGATCTCGTTTTCTTGGTCTGCAATGTTAGTTACTGAACCCCACTTTCTCCGCTCGGAGAGGCTTCGCGCTTGGGCCATAATCCGAGCAGAAAAACTCGGTCTGTAACTCACAGTACGACCTCGAACTCAGTCAGTAAAAGGCATCTATAAAATTAGATTGTCGCCTCTCGGTCGTTTCATTTTATTGTGCAACCCACGCATATTTCATATTACTGATTAACACTGGCAACGAGAACGGCAGTAACATTAACGGTCACAACATTGGCAGTAGCTGAACCGTTTACGACACCCTTGCAACGAAGAACCTCAAATTTACACTGGAAGTTTTTACAGTTTGTCGCATTAATTCTTCTCCGTCAAGATAAGACTTGAAACAATTAAAATGAAGATGAGAAAGTGGATTTAAAATGAGATGATCAGAAACTTTTATAATCAAGGTTAACAACTTGTATCAACACTGTAAATGTTTTTGGCCTTTCAGGAAAATTTCTTGTGACTGAGGGTAATGGTAAGGCACAACTTCTGATCCCGTTGGAGTTGGTCCTCGGCGATCACAACGCAGATTACGGCACGATGTGTATCAGGTTTAACTATTACATGACTGGGTAAGTCGAGACTAAGAGCTTAGTTTCATTTAATTTTTGCAAAGCGAAATGCTCAAAAGCTTGAAAATAACGCTTACGACAATGTGCATGATGGTAGCTGACAGGTTCACCTACCATCCGAAGTTATATCCTTACGACCCCCACCCCGGAAGAATGCCATCCCTAGAATGTACACTCAGGGTAGGAGTTCTATCCTTCCGCCCTCTGAACCTTGCTATCATCCTCTCCTACCTCCCTACCTCCCCTCTAACTGCCTATTACTGAGTTACTGACTTACATATCTTCTTATAACCTACCTGTTGGTTTAACAAATCGACAGTGGTTTAGCGTGGTCTGTACTCTTATCGACAATGATATTCGTCATCATAGTGGTGAAAATGTTGTGTACACCTCCTGAGTCCACAAAAAATTACCACAATATCGACGTAAAATAAAACGCTTCTTTCAGTGCGTGACACGATGCGTGACACGATGCGTGACATGTTGACGTGAGCAGTGTTGTCTGTGCTCATATCGACAACGGCAAATAGGCTGATCAGATTGTGAAATTATTGCCAATCGTGGTAAAAAAAAAACTTGTCTACCCAAGTAGCTGCCTATCCATCTACCGACTTTCATACCATCATACATGTAACCTTCAGACCTTACTAACTCACCTCCTATTTTAATCCATCGTTCGTGTCCTCTCGGCTTCCAGTCTATTTTCCATTCCACGCTCTTAGTTACTGATTAACAAACCTACTAACCTACTTGCGGCAGCTACATATATTATTATTATTATTATTATTATTATTATTATTTTTTCAGTGGTTCTTATTTTTTTTCTTTTTCTCTATATTTTAAAAATAATCTCACATTAGCATTTTACAATACGCTATTCTACACCACTTCCACACATACACACTCATTATACACACTCATTACACACACACACACACACACACACACACACACACACACGCACACACACACGCACGCACGCAGAAATATAAATAACCATAACACTATATTGATCTCAAAAGAGAAAATGAGCACAGGAGGTTGGTTTAATTATGTGCGTCTTGAAAACAGAAGATTTTTATTAATATTTTTTATTTTGATATTTTCCCCATTTTGGGCACTTTGGTAGTTACATATTGGTTTTTAGGCATTGTTTCTTGTATTTTCCACCACAGAGGCACACTTAAGTTATATGAAATCGAGAATAAAAAGGGTTCAAACCGACAACCCATAGGCAGTGCAAGTGGGAATCGAGGCCAGTGGAATTGCATGAAATGGAGTGTGAAAGTCAGCGTAAAACGACAAGTAAGTCGCATGGCGACGAGTACCAATTGAACTTTCCATCTCTCTATCATTAATATCTTGAACAAAGTCCAAACATTATGGGCAGCCTCGTCATTCTGACCCATGTCACTATGTATCAGAATACACTTGCTGAGGGACAGAGAACAAAAACTGCCATTTTTACTCTTCTAACTAAGCTTACTAACCTACCACCGCCTTACCTACCATCAGCTTAGCAACCTGCCCTATCCTTTATCACGTACCTTATGTAACCAACTGCCTTCATTCCAACCCACCTACAATGACTGACAAAAGTTCTGGCAGGCTCTACTACTTTTTGATTTTTTTCTTATAACTCCCATTTATCTCTTCCTCTCCCCCAATACAGTTGGGAGTTTAAGAAAACCACGACGGCAACGGGAACATCATGAAAAAAAGGTTTAATGAGTAGAACAATGGCACGTGTATTATAAATCTTTGAGAATTTCTTTGCGTCCTCTGCAAAACGGCAAAGTGCCGAAATGGCCAAACTTTGCGTCGTCTGGAGAGCGTGAACGACGACGGCTAATTTTTGAAGTTTCTATTTTTAATCAAATGCTTTGCTCCATATTGAGTTTCGAGATACCTTTGACTGTGAAAAACAAACCAAATGACTTTAAAGTATCGCGAGACTCTTCGATCGGTAAAATGAAAGTTCATTTTTTAACCGACGTTGTTCACAGTGTCACCGTGGTCGTTTCATAAGCTCTCCAGTGTTGCCTCAAAATCATCACTAATTGCCTAATTTCGTGTAAACTTGTTTGGAAGGGAAAGGGGAAACTTTAAAATAACTCAGAGATTAATTGCAAGATTTCTGTTTATTGTGTTGAGTGGAGGGTTGTCGACCACCTACTAAGGGGGAGGGGTACCAACTTCTTATGCCACTCGCCGTACCTACTTACCAATCCAACAATCTACTAACCTACAAATGCACTTACTTACCGACCCTTTTACTTCATTCCTTTCTACGTAATTACGCACCTTATCTTTCATTGAGAGGATAAAGTTTAATCAAGCTTTAAGAAGGTTTAAAAAAATTTACTCGTGCTTATTTACACCAAATTGCACTCAAAGTTACGTTATTACCTGTAGAAATATTGGGTCGTACAAATAACGCTATTTACTTCAACTTCCATTACCCACCTAGCGACTTACTGACTTCGCTAATTCCCGCCTATTTACCAGCTCATCTATAACAAACCAACCTACTTACTCTTTATTCTTTTACCTATCAGCTGATGTTCGAGGCAACCACCTCTGGCGGTGTTGTTGCCATTGATGATATCAGTTTTACTGAAAATGGATGCACGGTAAGAGCTCGCTTCGGTAGATTAATGAGATATATAAGTGGAATTTTGGTTCGTAAGTCTTGACAAGGGTTACATGAAGGGTCCTGCTTGGAATCATAGCTGTACTCTTTTGTTGTGCCCTGTTTTGCGATATCTAACGTAAAGTGCTTTTGGGTCAACTGCCAAAAGGATGGGTCTTCACTATCGAGTTCTCCCCTAATATGTCAACGTTTGAATCTCAGTGAATGCTATATCTTCATTGGAGGCCGAGTGGTAAGGGCGCTGGACTTGTAATCTGGTGATCCTGGGTTCAAGTCCTCCACACTACTTCTTCCTAGATTTGTTCATGGTTGTCCCCTGTTCAATTCCTTGGCTGTGCTTTCTTATAAAGTCAGGCGATCTGCCTCCAGCCAGTAGGGGCTTTTAAACAATATTGTGTATTCACAACCTTTCTTCCAATTTGTTCGTATTAGGCCTAAAAGCCCCATTTGGGGAGTGGTCAATTAAGTATACGCACATTCACATACATATCCTCAGACAAAAGCTGCCCGGTGTCGCCATTTAATTTTTTGCATACGCACTTAAAGCCAGCTGAATTCACATATCTTGAAAGGTGACTGAACCCACCACCACTCTTTTTTTTATGATTGAACCAACTTCAATACGAGTCAAATCAGAGTCGCTTGGAAGAAATGGCGCGTAAAATATTTGAAGAACTATAGGAGGAAAGATGTGTGCACACTTTTTACTAGTTCCAGGCATTTGCTGAATCAAAGGGGCTTGTAAATAACCCACGATGCTTATGCTCTGATGATTCGTATGGGTTCTATCGTACAACTTGGATGGGGATTTAAATGGATGTCGCTGTTGTCGTTATCGTTTTTATTTTCTGAACTATAGTGCACCACAACCAAATTGCTCATGGAATTATTAACATTGATCCACCCCCTTACTCTGTACTAATCCTTTTCTTGTTCTCCATTTTTTTCAGTAATCATAGCGTCAGAAAACTACAAGCAAGAAGTACTTTTAAGATTGGTGAATAAAAATAAAGTACTGTACAAATGAGTAATTGTGAGTTTCTTATACAGTCGGACACGAGTACTGCTTTCATTCCCAGTACTTAATATCCTAAATTGACGTTTCAAGCGTTAGCCCTTCATTAGAGCGAATTCCCACAGTTCCTCGATTAACACTGGCGAAAGGGCTAACGCCCGAAACGTCAGCTTTAAAAGCTCTTTACAGTGGCCAATTTTCATTTTCAACTCAGTAATAAAACAAAATTATCTTGTGAAAACCTCTCCCCGACGCAGCACCACAGTTTCTTTAAGAACTTACCCCCTTTTTGTTCAGTTATCGTATCTTTACCAATTCGCCTCTGAATTGGCAACGTTTCTACTTACTGCAAAACATCTTTCTTTTTCAATGAAATTAGAATTAATTCCATTAACATTCAAATGTCCAATTCTAACAAAAACTTCTGACTGTGCGAGTATGCTACGTCGCTTTCAAACGCTGGCCTCAATCGATGTTCCCGAGCGCGTGCAGAAAACTAAGTATTTGATTTACTTTGATGCACTTTATATGACAAAAATATTCGAAAATACACCTGCAATGAATTATTCAAGCTACTTTAGAATGTTGCTGTAAGAAAGAACGGCTCGTGGTTTTCCATGCATGTCACCGTTTTTCGATGATGATTTTCAGTAACGATTGACTAAGGATCAATGTCTTTGTCAGTCAAGTAATGAATATAATTCAGTAGTTCATATAGAAATTATAAAATAAGCATTGGTTAAATTTATTGTAAAAGTTATCTCCCTGATAACTATCAACCATCAAAATTACTTGCGGTCTTCCGTGTGGGGAAGGGAACGTTCTCGATGATCTTTTCTGCTCCTAAATGCATAAAGAAACACCAGATGCACCATTGGCAGTTTTTAAATTAAAGACGCATTATCCGTCTGCGCGAACTTCGGCAAACATTCGCAGTTGACGAGCAACAAGACGCATAGTGCATCGAGATGAACAAGTCTTCGTGATGCGTTTTGACAGGACGCATTACGAAAGACAGATCGTCTGGGATGCATGATACGTCTCTGTGTGTAAGGAAAAGTAACAGAAGAGGAGCGTCTGAAAATAAGTAAAAGGATTGGCTTGATGCGAATGGATACCTAGGCGAGGCCTTAAATTTCACTCAAACTAAATTCAAACGTGTTTCGAGACACCTTCAGCCTTTTCTTCTAACAGATTCCGTTCTCAACTCATCGGGACCTCGCTCGTGTCCGTTGCTTTCTGTTATCGCGATTCCGGACATTACAGCGGGCTCTGAAACCTTAGTGTCGAACTGTATCTATCTGACAAAACGTTTCTTTTCCATTTATTCTTTCAAATTTGACGACCTAAAAATTTCTCTTCTGCTTACAGTTACGGAAGAACAATTTGCATTAATGGATCATGATAAATAAAATGACCACTCGTGAAAAATCGATAGGTTTATCCACCAGGGTTTGCTTGATTAAAACGCTAACACTATTGGAATACTCAGATGTCGGGGACCAATTATATCAATTTTCAGAAGATATTTTAAAGACTTTTCTGGCTCCATAGTTTGGATAAGAAATTTTTAGAATAATGATTTTACGAGAGCAAATGATCCTTCTATGTTCTCCTTTATGTTTTTATATTTTTACATTTAAGCCTTTAGATCGTGCAGGATATTGAATTCAAAGATAAATATTGCACAGCCAACATCATAAAGAAAAGAAGTAGGGACAGCTATCAAAGAAGTGATCTTCAAGTCTGCATGTGTAAAATGCACAGAAGCCTAAGGACATAGAAATTTCCCGATAATTGTTAAAAAAGCAATGATATTTAGCATTATTAGACAGCGACTTGAACCAGCGTAATTTTGTTACTCTGAGACATTCAGTGATTGTTTTACCACGCTATTGATCAAAGGAAGAAAAAAATAAACAACTCATTTAATCATCAAACGGATAAAAGACATCTGAGTTTAGTGCATGGTGGTATACTCGGCCAACTTTGAAGACCAGCTGGCTAAAAACATCAGTGGCCCTGAAATAATATCAAACGATGGTATACTAAATGTATTGATCACCAAGACGTTTTAAGAACCTACAGGAAACAACATCTTAAAAGTAGTATACATTGTTCTCAAAAATCATGTATTTGTTTAAACAAGGGAGGAAAGTTGTTAAAAAATTGCTCTGTCCTCGAAAGGGTAGTTTTAACACAACGACCTAGTTATTCTTTCTTTGTCTCACAATGAGTCACTTGGCAGCCATCCTAGCCTGAGTTGATTTGTCCAATTGCCTTATACTGACCCAGGATAAAAAATATGATCAGAATTTAATGATCATGTCCTATGCAGACTTGGCTTGGTGGTTCGCCCAAAGACTTTGAGGACGTTTGTGGAGGAGCCTCTAATTATATTTGTAAATTACAATGTCCGGGAAATGACAACAACGACAAGCTTCGATGAAAATGATGCTTTTAATTCTTCACCAATGAAGATGGCAAGGAATGAAATAAAGTCACCCCTCCCTTGGGGCTCTGGTTGCTTCAACTTGGTACATATTTTGTGCCAAGCAAGATTGAAATCCATCGCATTCTACAAGTAAAAAATTGTTGTTAGTGCAATTAAAATTCTCAAGAAAATGTTAGGGTTTTATCTGAGGGACTTGATGTGAGAGCTCTCATAATCTCTTAATCCCCCCAGGGATTAAGCAGGAGCCCAGAATACTTTGGATTCGTGAACAACGTTTTGACCTAACAAGCTGTGAAAGTTTGAACTGAAAGAAAAAGGTGAGATTGCATCTTTTACGGCGTATACTATTTGCACATACATATACACATAATGGTCGCAGCCGCGCTGGTTTAGACCACAGCGCAGGAGGGCCGAAGTTAAGGTTACTCATAGAGTTTCAAGACGAGTAGGATGGCAGCTTTGCGAGTTCAATCAATTTTATTCCGAAATATAGCCACTCATTGCAGAAGACCAAGAAACAAAAGAAGGTCCAATCGGATCCAAACGGATCCAGTCAGTGCGTATAGATTCTGTGTTATCAGATCCATTACCAATCACACACGGAGTGCCCCAGTGAGCGATTCTTTCGCCGCTCCTCTTCTCTATTTATTTAAATGATCTGCCAAACGCTACTCAATTCTGCCAGCTCGAGTCATACGTCGATGACTCTAAAGTTTTGCTATCTTTTCCCGTAGCCGATGTCATTGACGCTAAGTTCAAGCTCGAAGATGATTTGCGTAATGTTGCCAGCTGGTGTTGCGCAAATGATTTGTTAATAAACCCTGGCAAAACGAAGTTCATGTTGATCGGCACTAAGCTAATCATAAGTAAACATTCAGTTAATTTTACTGTTTCATTTATTGGAAGGACTCTCACGACCGTCGAATCGGCAAGAGATTTAGGAGTATACATAGATTCACATCTGACCTATGACACTCATATCTCCCACCTAGTCTCTTCATGCTAGACTGAACTGGTTCAGATCAACCGCGTGAAATACTGTTTCGATATAGAGACTTTAGTTTTAATTATTACATCTCTTGTCCTTAGCAAAATGTTCTACTGTTTGTCCGTGTGGTCTAATACCTCATCTAAGAACATACAAAAGCTGCAACTCATCCAGAATTTTGCCTGCAAAATCATCTGCGGCGCTTGGAAATTTGACCATGTAACGCCATTACAGGATGAAGTCAACTGGCTTCCAGTTGACAAAATACTCAAATTCAGAGACGCTGTTATAGCTTATAAGTGTGTCAACAATTTAGCTCCTGTATATCTATGTGCTAAGTTTAAAAAACGATCTTCTGTACATAATCGCATAACTCGTAATAATGAGAAGATTGACATTCCATTATTCAGATCAGCTACTGGCCAAAGGTCCTTTGCCTATAGAGCAGTATCTCTGTGGAACATGTTAGACGAAGACCTAAGAAACGTTACATCTGTAAAGGCCTTAAAGAAAGTCCTGAATTTCAGCTACACTACTCAACAGACACTAATATAGTGAACCATTAGGTTTATTTTGCATGTTTCGGCCGAGCACCAGCGTACAATAATGAAGAAACACATATAGAAAACCGTTGCATTCTCGGTAATCGTTACCAAAGCACACGACAAAAAGACATACCGAGAGCTTAGCAACCACTAGCAAACATCGTGGTTAGAACGGCGGCCAGAAAAAACCTGCAC